TCGTACTAAACCAAATGCCAAATCCTTACCAAAAATATACAAAACCTAACCAAAAAAATTAAATTGAAATTGAATAAACATTGCAATGGAATACGCATACAAATTGAATGAAACATTTTATGCGGACAAAATGTGTGTGCAACCCAATAAATTGCTGTTTATTCGCTGTATATCTATTTGTTCAGTAAATTGAAGTTATTTAATTGAATTCCTAAGAAGATCGAATTTGTTTGCGAAAGAGAATAAATAAACAAAATAATAATATAGTAATAACCCGTCTTGATACCGTCGTTGTGGTTTATCAAACGCATGTTGGTTGATATGTAAATCTGGTTTACTACAATTCTAACGGAAACCAAACAAAATAATCACATCGACCGTTTGATTGCTACAATGTTACTTGCATGGATTATCTTAATGGTCCGCTCTATATGGCAAAATAACACATACGTCACGAGAAATAATTGGTGAAATGAAAAGAAGCCGTACAAAATTACCTTTCGAAATGATTTTATTTTTCAAAGACTCCTCAGTATTTTTTTGAAATTGATTCTTGTTATTTTTTCGTTAATTAAAAAACATCGACGCAATTTTTCAGTGAAGTGATTAAAAAGTTGCATCAGAATACAAAGCAAACACATTTATTGTTGGCAACTGACGCAAGTTTACATTTTGACATCGTGTCGAGGAATCCAAATAGAGTAATCTCAATCTCTTGCAATGAAAAAAGTAAACATGCATCGAAATTACGTGATTCTGTTGTTTAATTTTTTCCTCTGTTTTATTTCCGTTTTTGTCTTGAAGTTCAAATTGAAAAAGAAAACAATCAGACGTTGATATAGCAAAAAATGCGATGAACAATAAAAAAAAACATATGAGTTTCATTGCCGTTGGGTTTCCCCAGGCGATTCGCTCATCCATTTAATTGAAATGATTGAAATGATGAAAAAAAAATGCGTGAAAAAATTATCTGAACACGTAAAAAAAACTAAAAGTTTTATTGGTCGAATTTTAATTATTTTGCCTAAATTCTGGCGATATAAACTTTGAAACGTGAAAACTATTCTAAAATTGAATTTTTCTTTCAAAAATTTGGGAGCATTATTATAAAATAGTAGCATAAATCTTTTACCTAAAACTATTTTAATATGATTGAGTTTTTTTCTATTGAAAAAATTACTCAATTTATTTCATAATTCATATTAAAAGAATATTCAGAGCTAGATAAATAATAATGATTGTAATCATTTTAATTTATTTCATTTTTAAAGTTCGAAAGTCCGTTGAATTGATATAATATTTCATGAAGAAACAAGGAAAGCGGGGTTAGGCTGCTGGCCAAACAATAGGCTCAATCCAATCCATATAAAAAGCGACCCTGGTGTAAAGAGATGGAAGTGCCGTGCCACAACCAAAACCAACTGACACTATGCCAAGAACAGTGGCAATCCCTGAATCGTTTTCATCGAAATATTGAAGCGGCCCACCGCTGTCCCCTTGACAACTATCATTTCTGGCTTGTGGATCATAGGCACAGTATTGGCCTCCTCCGATGCCATTTCGAAGAGCTGCTTGATTTGCATCCCGATTGAGCTCAAAAAGCGTTCTATTGCATTCGGTTAGTGGCATCGATGTTAATTGAGTCTTTTGAAGGCTATTCGACAAAACAATGCCTTGAAACGAAATGAAGAAAATAAATGAAATGTTTTACTAGCTATCAAGAGGACTTTCAGCAAAATCCGAGAAGATTAGGACCTACGGTCAGAATCAGTGGTGCCCCATCCGGTTGCGAGCAATTCCACATCAACGCCTTCATCGCGCAAATCCGTTTGAAGACAAGCCGGCACAATTTCAGTTGTAAAATTTATACGTTTTCCCACACGAATCAACGCAATGTCATTTCGTTTTGTTAAGAACGAATAGTTTGAATGCCGTATGATTTCCTATTCGAAAACGAAATCAAGGTAGAAAAAGATAAAACATTGTAAAAAAAACTGTTCCATATCTCAGGTTTTTACTTGAACTTGAAAATTGGCCAGTTTTGGATCGTCATCATCGGTCAGTGTTAGCTAAAAGTAAAAGAGTGAATTGCTTTGGATTACTAAGAAATTTATAAGCGCGCAAGCGTTGGCTACCGACTTTTCCCAATCGAACTACAATAGGTGGACGAGATTGCCTTGCACAATGAGCCGCTGTCATTATGAAAAATTCAGATATAACGGTACCGCCACAGTCAAAAGTCACTTTTTCATTTGCACTGCGATAGCCCAGCGCTGCCTTTGAATGGAGAAGAGAATGAGAATATATCAAAAATCTTGGATTGAATGGAATATTACCATCCATGGAAATTCCGCAGGCCCGGCCGCTTCACCTCCCAGAACTCGGTCTATTGGCAGTTTCAAGTAGATTTTACACGCTAATTTCAAAAATAAAAAAACAAATTGGTCAAAAATTAGGCTGTTCCGTGTCCTCATTGAATTTCAATTCAAGACTACCATGTTGTGCAGGACTTAGGACCGTTTTCACTAACTCGATTATGTTCACATCACCTGAATGAAGAAGAAATACTTTTTTTGACTAAACTTTTTGGTGCAAATTTACGTTTATTTAAAAAAAAAGAAGAAAAAATTGGCTGGTCTTTTACGACCGGATATTTTTGATCGATAATTCATTTCAAACCATCGCAATTATTTGGGGTCCATTGAGCATTGAGCATTGAGAATATGATTTAAAGAACCGGTTTCGCAAGTAGTAATTTAGTACATGTATCCCTGCAGGGAACGTACCTCGTATCAAAGCCAAATCCAATGGCGACTGCCCACTTTTGTCTTTGTAGCTCAGTGTGCCGTTTTTAATCAACAGCTCAACGACTTTCACGTGGCCTATAAATGAATTTGCTTATTCATTACATTTTTAGATACATTTTCATAAGGATAATCAAGCATTTACCATTCTGTGTAGCTATATGAAGCGGTGTCCATTTATTGGAATCTTGAACGTTGACATTTACTCCGTAATTTATCAACAATTTGATAATACGTTCATTACCTTCGATTTCAGATGATTGAGAAATGTATTAAAAATTGTCATGAACAAAAAATTTCACTGAAGTGAATGAATGATCCTCGAAAAATTTGAATTGCAATAAAATGATCTGGCAAATTGAATTTCACTCAAATCAGTCATGTTGAAATAAACCTTTACCTTTTTCAGCAGCTTCATGGCAAAGTGACCAGCTTTCCATGTATTTAAAATTCGGATTTGCGCCATATATCAAAAGTAGCTCCACCATTTCTTCACGACCTGATTGATAGATACATTTTTTGTATTAGTTTCTCTATTTGTTTTATTTTTCGAAGCAGTTACCTCTGGAAATTGTTGAATATGATGAAACATATTTTATTGAACGATCTTTCAATAATGTTATGAACAAAGGCGTTCGACCGTCCATGGTTATTGGATCAACGTGTGCTCCCCATTTGAGAAGTGCTTCCACAGCTTCATCATTACCTAAACAGCGAGGCGGCAATGATAGAATCATGTTTGTTCGAAATGTTGTATGTAAAAAAAAGTAAATGCCTTCTTGTGCTGCTAAGTGCAGCGGCGTCCATTTGTCAATTTCTACAGCATTTACGTTCGCTCCTTTCCTTACCAGTAGCTTCATGATAAGTGTATAACCTGAATAGTGATCATTCCTATTATAATTATGTTGATTCTATGCGGGGTGGGCATTAATAACTTCGTTTCTTGTAAAGAATTAATGTTTATTTTGAAAAATTGACACAATATTTAAAAGTATTGGCAATCGAATGCTATTAATTTTTACCACAATTCAGGCGTTTTACGGAAAATTTTATTGAAAAAGGAACAAAATATTAAAAATAGCAAAAAATAGCAATATCATTGAAAGAATAGCGATTTGTTATTTACTGTTTTTAACCGTTTAGAACGAAGTTTTAGTTTGGTGAAGAGTTATTTTATGAAATTAAATGGAACGATTTGTTCTTTGCTTTGAAATAAGATTAGAAAAATAACCAAAATAAAAAAAAATTGCAGTAACGAAATAATAGCAGTTCTCTCATATCGAAATGTCGTAAGAGGCCATTTTCGACCATTTTTCCCACAAAAACGCTGAAAAATGACATATGATTCACCTGCCGAGGCCAATTACACGGATTTAACCATGGTGTTACACGAAATTTTATTTTCCCATCTGAAGCGGCGTAACATGGGCTATCTTTTGACGCAAAAAAAACATGCCAAAAAACCCCACTATTTTGAGATATTTAACATTTTATACTTTGAACCCATTTTTGGAGGTTCCAATGGGGCCATAGAGGATAGGTTACTAGGCGGATTTTGTAGCCTCATCGATTCCCTTTCCAACGGTACCATAGGTTTGGCAATGTGTCAACTACTTCACAGTTAGATTTTAGTTGGCGCAAACCCTTTTTTTCGATTTTTTCAATTTTTCCTAAAGTTCACACTGGGTTAACTCAGAAAGGCGGGCCACTTTTAGGCCTGAGATTTTGGTTTTCTCTTTTTCTATCGGAAACAAGACTCCAAGCCAATTTTCAGCCAATTCGGCGACCTCACATTGCAACTCTTCCCTGATTTCGTGTGGAATGGCCGATTTATTTATTTATGCATAATAAAACGGCGAAATATTTACGTAATATTTACGATAAAATGATCGAAATATTTAACGATAAAGCTAAAAATCGCCAAAATATTCACGAAAAAAATTTCGGACATATTTTTGGGAAAAATTGAAAATTAAAAAAAGTTCGATTTTCTAATCACAAATTTTAGAAAAAATAAAAGTCGTAAAATATTCATTTTTGATGAAAATCAACTGACGTACGAAAAAATGCCAAAACCTTGGAATATTTTCGAAAAACTCAAAAATTACGAAATATTTATTTGCCGCCAGAAGATGCCAAAATTAGGGCTTAAGAATCGCACATTCAGTTCACAATACAACTCATTTCAGCGAGAGCCACAGCGCTCGTGTGCGATGGTCTTCTAGAAGCTTCTAGAAGCTCTTCTATGAGCTCATAACAACTGAGTTGTGTGCGCACACTGCTCACTTACTTCTCCTCTGCTTTGTGCGGATTTTCGTTCGGTCGAAGAAAAAAATAAGAAGAAATAGTAGTAGTATGTTCAACATAGCCGAAATACAGGCACAAACATGTTTATTTTGTCTGCTGTGAGTATTTGAGCGCACATTAAACGGACAGTGGTAAACTCATTTGTATTTGAGAACTTGTGAACTGTTCGTCGTTCGCTCGTGTGCATGTAGCGCACACGATATTGTGATGCATTGCGCTACTCACAGGGTTCACTCTGTGCGATTCTTAAGCCCTGCCAAAATATTTATTTGAATATTTTTTATTTAAATAAATATTTTTGGTTGCCCTGTTGATGAGTGTTATTTGTACATAAACTGTCAAACTGTCACGTTGCACATAGGAAATATTAGCAAAAAATAGCACTTTTATTGAGGGAAACTAGCAGAAATATATATTGAATATATTGAACTATTGATTAAATTAGTGAAACTAGCGTTAGTGTCTCTCCCCATCCGGAAAACAGACATTAATAATGCATACACTCCACAGTTCTGTTCCGAAGGACTTTGAAAACCGTTACCTTCGTAGGCAGCCACATGAAGCGGTGTCCATTTATCATCATCTGTATCGTCTACATTCATTCCATTTTGAATTAGCAATATCGCAATCGGCACATTGCCTGAGAATTAAATTCAATTTATAACCCACACATTAATGAATTACTTACTTATTTTATGGTATATGCGAAAGAATATTAGACTTTTGATGAAATTTTATGAATGTGTTTCATAACATTCTAGTAATATTTTCCGAATTTTCATGCCTTTTCCGGAAAAAAAGAAAATCGGTGAAAATCATCTTCGACTCTTAAGCAATTTGATTCAAAAATTCCAACGTATTTTGTCAGAATGGAGGAAAATGCACAAAGAGTCGACAAAAAATCGTAAAATATTTGTTCATCAAACGTTGGTAAGTAAAGAGTAAAGCTTACTTCTCTGATTTTCGTTGTTCAAAGCTACGTTATATAATACATATAAGTTATATTTTAAACAATTAACACAATAGTACACACAGGGAAGAATGGTTCGGATTTTTGGTATAATGAAATTTTTTTTCGTGAAAAAAACCAAAATTAAGATATCTAAAACAAAAAGTATTTTCTTCCATACAAATTTTGTCTGAATAAAAGGCTCTCGGAAATTTGTGCATAGAACGTCAAAACAATTGACATTTCAATGTTTTTAAGTCAGAAGAACGTCAATGCTGCTAATGACATTGACGTTCTAGGCAAAAGCAACATGAGCGAATTCCGAGAGTCTTTGTTTTGTACCAAAAATCTGAACCATTCTTTCCTGTGTGTAGTAATTTTTGTCCAGAAAAATTTCAACTAGTTTGAAATATTCAAAAGTTGGAAGATATACCTTTGAAGCTAGCAGTAAAAATTGGCGTCCAACCTCGTCGACACTTCACATTCATAGCCACGCCTTTGGATATGAAGAAATGCACCATCTTTTCACGATTTTGATGTACAGCTATTGCAAGTTTTTTTGAGAAATTAAAGAAATCGTCAGAAAATAATTAACGAAAACATCAAAACACTATTAATTACTAACCTAAATGCAATGGGGTTAAACCGTTAATATCTCCCACATTCATGTCCGCTCCGTGTGTAATTAGTACTTGAGCTATATTCACCTTACCTAAAATACCAAAGATTAGTTCAAAAGATTGTTTGTTCTCTGGTTTTCTCAAATAAAACTCAATGGAGATATTTCAAAATAGGTAGTCGAGTCAATATAAATGGTCCTCCAAACCACAACGAAAACAAAAAAATATCATTAAATTAATTATTTTGTTATTTTGACTATTGTAACGTTATATTACTACTGTGTCCAAAAAGTAAGGTGACATTGCATTTATTTTGAAAATTCTTTATTTATTCTTCCAAATCAATTTCATCGCCTTCAAAGTAATCCCCTCCCGATACAATGCACTTATGCCAACGGATTTTCCAATCTTCGAAACAGTTGAAAAAGTCGACTTCAGGGATGGCCCTCAGCTCCGTCTTCGCTGCGGCTTCAATCTGCTCTATCGTCTCAAAACGGTGTCCCCGGAGCGGTCTTTTGAGCTTGTTGAACAGCCAGAAGTCGCACGGTGCCAAATCAGGTGAATACGGTGGTTGTGGAACGATATGAGTCGAGTTTTTGGCGAAATGTTCACGAAGAATGATCGCATTGTGAGACGATGCATTATCATGGTGCAAAAACCAAGAGTTGTCTTTCCACAATTCCGGCCTCTTTTGGCGGATAGCGTTACGCAAACGACGCATAACACTCAAATAATATTCCTTGTTGACTGTTTGACCCGGGGGAAGGAACTCATAATGCACAACACCCCGATAATCGAAGAAAACAGTCAACATGACCTTGATTTTTGAGCGACTTTGGCGCGGTTTTTTTGGTCTCGGCTCACCTTTGGCACGATATTCGCTCGATTGGTCGGTTGTTTCCGGGTCGTAAGCATAGATCCAAGTCTCGTCTCCAGTGATCATGCATTTCGTCTTGTCAATGTAGTCAGAAAGCATTGTTTCACACACGTCAACTCGACACCTTTTTTCCAAAAAATTCAATGATTTCGGTACCAGTCGAGATTTGACGCGTTTGAGGCCCAAAACATCCTTCAAAATGGTATTGACTGAGCCTTTCGATATGCCAATATCATCAGCAAGGTCTCTAATCGTTAATCGACGGTTTTCCAACACCAAATCTTTAATTTTTGGACGTGAGCTTCGTCGGTTGAGGTTGATGGTCGCCCAGCACGCTCTTCGTCTTCGACACATTCACGGCCTGCTTGGAACTCACTATACCACTTGTAAACATTTTTTTTCGACATAGCCTCATCACCAAAGGCTTTCTGCACCATCCTCAACGAATCCGCAGCAGAAAATTGATTCCGCAAACAAAATTTAATGCAAATTCTTTGATCAACAAATTTCGACATCGCAAAAAACGAGAAATTCACTTTTAGCAGTCCACAAAACGAAGCGTATCTCAAACACTAATGAATATTTTGACGTGTAATTTGGCAGGGATGTCAAAGACAGTCCTACCAACCTAAAAATAAAAGGATTTTTTCAAATTCCCCAGCGCGCTAAATTTTAAATGCAATGTCACCTTACTTTTTGGACACAGTAGTAATATGACATTTACCAAAATATCATTACCATTATATGCAGCCCAATGAAGCGATGTCCATCCTTTATCACATTTAGTATTGACATTAGCACCGTTTTCTACCAAAAAATATACAACTTGTTCGCAACCTGTAGTGATGTCATCGATTCGGAAAAATATCGTATTAAGAAAAAGGATTGGGTTGAATAATGAACCCCAATAGAAGATCCTAAATAATGATGCATCAAGAAATACCCTGCCGTGCAGCCGTATGAAGTGCTGTCCTTCCATTGTTGTCTTTGATATCAATATTCGTGCCTTGATCGATTTGTTCTTCCATTTTTTGCAGGTTGCCTACAACCAACATCGAAATGAATCAATTAAAACACTGACACATCGAAATAAATTATCTTTGGCTGTACAAATGGCTCGATGTTTCCATAATGATAATCGAGAGATATTAACTTACAATCCTGTGCTGCGTCAAGAATTAATTTCCATGGCCCATCCTTGAAGATTTCACTGTGAATAATAAGAAAAGGATATTCGATCATTGCAAACATATCAATATAATTGTGAGAATTGGCGCCGACCCAGTCAAACCCTAATGTCACTGAACAGTCAATAAAATAAACACGGGACTGATTATTAGGATTTATTTAATCATATAAATTTAACACTCACTTGTCAATGGTTTTGACTAGATTTAGTTCTGAAATTATCAAAAATTAAAGCGAACGATGTTACTCATAATAAGTATTATCATTATCCATTTCATTCTAATAACAATGTTGGATTTTCCACCTTCTTCTCTCATGTGTAGATGTTTTTCCAGGTTCAATCCTTCAGGAACTTTACTTAACACTACATTACAGCAAAGAAATAACACCAAGTAATATTTCATTTTTTTTTCAATTTCAAAACAGTTCAAAGGCGTTGATATAATTCATCGATTTTTTCCAGTCTCTTTTTTTAACTTTGATTTCAAGCCTAACGCATAAACACAATTCCAAATAAAAACACCAACAACTTTCAAAAAACATTAAGTTCTTAATTAAACACAAACTGTGAAGACTTCCGTTCCCTCTGACATATCGTTCTCATATAAAGTTTTTATATTCCACATTTACCTTTGTTCTAAAACAAACTCATTTGAAAGTCTAAGAATCAAGATATGACACAGGTTATTCAGAGTAAGAATGATACACTTTTTCAATTTTCCATTGTTCAGTGTAATAAGTTCGAGAAGATAGTTTCTACGCTACAAAATCAGTCTTCAAAAACCTGTTTTACTATAAAATATATATGTGATGAAACCACAATAGACTTAAATCGATTAATGCACCTCTACTTTTCGACGTTCAAACCTACACTGTACAGTGTATAACAACTACTTAGCGTAGAGTCCATATAACAATTGGATAAACTTGCATGCTTCATCTGAATTGTAAGTAGATTGAGACAGTTGACTTGAGTATAGGCTTTATCGTGAAACAAATACTACATACCACACGCTGGGTGTAAGATAAAAATAGATCTTCATATTATCGTAGGTAAAGTCATAAAACCTACGAAATTCCAAGAAATCAATCGAGAAGATAGAACAGCAATCACGTTTTTTCTTCCATGTTGCAGTTTTTTAAACCATACAATTATTCGTATCGTATTACATATTCTTCTTCCTCAGTGATGATGTGCCGTCAATAAAACTGAACTGTCATTACGCTTACATTGCTTTAATTCGTGATTTGTTCTAGATTTCGTCTAAACGTACTTGCACTTGGGACTTGGCCTTGAATTTTGCACCCATTTTTGTATATTACATACTTGATGTATCTTAAGATACAAGATTTATCAAAGATGCATTACTTCATTTAATAGTTGAGGAGTGATTTTATTAATTTACACGCAGTGGTTTTAATAATAATGACACATTTGAATGAGAAAAGAAATATATTTAAATGTATCGAGGTGTAATTATTTATTTCAAATATTTTTACTAAAAAAGTTATGAATAGAAAAGTGTTGTCATTTTTTCATCTAAATACTGCAGTACAACGTTATACATTTGTTGAAAACATGCCTTGACAACTCCTGAATACTAAAGAGACGATTTACGTTGATTTGGATTATTCATTACGGAATGGCCCAAACAAATGATTCGATCCAATCTGAGTAATAGGCAACCCTACATCGATAAGGAAATAGACAAATAAAAATCATACCGATCATCCTACTAAATTGAAAATGACATATTTGTATAATTTGAACACGGGAGACTATTGCACTGGGAAAGTGGCTTCGAAGTGAGTTGTACTTTGCCCCTAGTTCCCATAGCTTTTTTAAAAATAAAAATCTATAATTATGAATAAAGTTCATCTTACGATCAGCCGATGTGCTGCCTCAACCAGTTGCAATCAAATTCACGTCAGCTTTTTGATCTTACATTTCTATTTGCAAGCATGCTGGTGCTATCTCAGACGTGAAACTGATGCGTCGAGACACGCGTATCAAACCAATGTCATTTTTGAATTGAATGTTCGAAAATTTGTATGTCGTATGATCTCCTAACAGAAGAAAAATTAGAAAAAAATTTGTGAAGAAATCTCTGCCAAAAAAAGTGAATTTTGCTCATTTTAGAACATTTTTTCTCATAATCATGAAAATTTCCCGTGAAACCTGAATTTGATGATTCGCCGGCTTGATCCCATCACCATCAGTCAAGGTCAATTTTTGTACACATTCGCAATGACATAACATGGACAAAGGGATGTAGATGTAATGGTGTGCATGCATATATGATTTTTTTTGCCGAAAGCGACAGTGCCAATTTTGCCAGTCTTCTTTTATTTTTAGGAACTCGAAAAATTTTCATGTGAATTAGAGCATTTTTTAAATAATTAAATTCCGGTTTATATCCAAGAAATACTAATAATTTTTCGAGTCGTCAAAAAATTAGAGATGTTAGTGCTTGCGTTTGTATCCATACATTTTATATAGGATTGCCGCACGAATGCTTGCCAAACAATGCAAATATGTGGCATAATAGGCACAAATGCCTATTTTTCTACGAATGTTAACGGCATTCGCGAAAAGTCAATTGCCCCTAGCAAATTACCAAAAGAGGTTGCACAAATCACAAAATCCGTCTTCAGTTAGTGCAGTGTGTAGTATAGCATTAAGCTATAGTTTTACGAAATTTTCTACAAGAGTGTGTGAAACTTATATACAAAGAGTGTGTATTTGCTGCTGAGTAGGCCTGAGCTGAGCTGAGCTGAATATGCTAACTCAGGCGCCGGAAGCGCCTTACTTTGCGATATACTTTGGCATTTTCGGTATCTTATTAGTGGTCTTTAGACTGATCCAAAAAAAAGAGTTGTCCCTCATCCCAAAAGTCCGGCCAGTTTCGAAAAATATACCTCAAAAAAATAGGTTTAGCGCAAAGAACGCATATGGGTACCATATAAAAACTCATAACAAGCCTCATATCAAAATTTTCATGACAGCAATTTCGGAAGCCATTTTAGATCGCTACATTTCGACCAAAATCATTTTTCCAGCCAATATTTGGCAAAAACTGTTGATGGGGTTTTGTTTGGCTTGTCAATATGTACAACTTTTACCAAGACATCAGCCCTTGAAAAGGCATTCTGGGCCAGTTGTAATTACAGTGTAAAATGACAGAAAAAATTGCAATTTTTCGGCATTTTTTACATTTTCTGCTCTACGAGTCACCCAGGCGGTGGAATATTGTCCAATTTTTGACTTGTGTCGTGTAGCCAAAACCTGTACAAAACTTTTGGTACTTGTCAGATTGCGATTTGGATGGAATTTGGCGATAATTGATTCACACATATAAGACAAATTTCAGGCCAAAATGAGCAAATCACAAACATGAGCTTCGGTTTGACAGGTAAAAGCAAATAATTTCTACCTTTTCTGCCTTTGAACATCTAGTATGATTCTTTACGAACATTTTGGGTACTTACATGACCAAATCGAGTGATGTTTTCACATATTTCTGGCCTCATATTCGATTTCAACTGCCAAAAAATCGACTTTTGACCAAAAAATCCTTAAGTATAGGCTTTTTAGGGATAATGTCTTGGTGAAATGTTATTTTTTCTCGAAAATATGGGGAGTCTACCCAGACAAAAACTCTCAAAATTGAGAGGTACCTCCTTTTTAAGGTACCTCCCGAACAAAATATACGTTTTTCATGGATTTTACTATGAAAATATCAATTTTTGTTCGGGAGGTCCCCCAATATTAGATGAAATATATTTGAGTAATGAGATGGTGATGTTATTAGTCTGGAACCAAATATTTCCCATTGATAACAAACTGATAAGGAGTGCGAATTTCGATGTAGCGATAACATCAATGGATTGAGCACACGAAATACTGCATGAGAATCGAAAAAAAAAATATTAAACTTTTTTTTCGATTTTCGGCTGTATTGCGACCGTCTACATGGGAAGTTTGTATGAAATTCTCGGAACGCCGCTGCTATTGCATTGGCTTCTATGGCCAAATGTACACATTGAAATATCGCGAAAACGGCTGGGTAAATCGGCAAAACGGACCGTGATGTCACTCCTCATGAGTCATGACCTATATTATTCACGAATTAGTTTTTGTAAATTGTCGATTAAACGTTTAAATTTCTCGCGTTACCTTTTCTATTTATACTAGTTTTCATTTATTTACTCATTAAAACTAAAAATAAAGTTATAAACCTTGTCCTAAGGCTATATATGAGTAGTTTGGAGCGAAAATGTTATACAGAAAAGTTGAGCGGAAAAATGTCGATGATGAATGAGCGGAAAAGGGATAGCTATATAGTAAACTATATGAACTATATAGCTATCTCTTTTCTTTTGACATTTTCTCCCTCAACTTTTCTGTATAACATTTTCGCTCCAAACTACTCATATGTTGTACTTGGTCCGTCATTGTTTGTAATTTTTTCATTTGCTTAGCTGAACAAAAGTAATTGAACTAAATGTTTGTCACCTGAGTTATAAAATTGGAATCTATTAAAATTTAGTTGTATGGCTGTTAGAATTTTAATGATGAATTCATTGACTAAAAACCGTTTGATGCCGCCAGGTGTGGAGGGGTCCATCCAGAATTGGTTTTGATGTCGACATTTGCTCTGTTTTTAAGCAAAATCCCCATCACTCCTTCATGATCTGAATTGTTGAATAGTTTTAATTAATTGAATTTTTCATATTTTTCATTCAGTCTAAATTGGTTCCAATAGAAGCGATCGGAAATATTGAATGGTAGTCAATTAATATTTCTAGTTGCTATGTACAATGTCGACCATCCATTGCTGGGGTCTTTGATATCCACATTTGTGCCGTATCTAATAAGGTCGGTTGCTCTTTGTGCGTCTCCTAAACAAATATGCATACTAATTATTTTCAAATAAACGAAGGAATCTTAAATTGTAGCTGCTTGCCATTTTGAGCTTCATCCAGAATCGGCTTCCATGGACCATTACTAAAAATCACGCTGTGAATATTTTTGAGTGATTTTAATCACACATAATTTAGTGGGGGGAAAGCAGAATTCACGTAAAATCTTTGTTCACAGTAGCAAACTCGACAAATATATTCAGTAAATAAAGTATTTATTTAAGGGCATATTGAGCTACTCTGCTACTATTCATCAAGGTTATTATCGTTCAGCTTTCGAGCGAGATAGAGATATTTCTTACAGTTGTATGAACGTAAATTGGTACTTACTTTGGCATGGCTCCCTTGAACCGAATGTCTACAAACGCAAAATCGAAGAATTTTAAATAAACCTGTTTTTTCAACAATAAATTGTAGGTACTTAAGTAGATTGCTATGAGCACATGATTTTTTCATATTTCATTGAAAAACGAATATTTTAATATTATTTTTACCTGAAGAAACTCCAACCAAAACGATTTGAAGAAACAGAATTAATCTGATGAGCGATATCATGTTTGCAATTCTATTGATTTTTACACAAAACTGAACTGAAACACAGAAAATACAATAATTACGAATTTAAATAATGAAGCAAACATTTCAATGACCTTTCACAAATCAATGAATACCGAAAAAATAAGGATTTCATCTGTACTATTGATTACAAACTGTATAATTTTCCATTTTCAGAAAGTGCTTCTGTTCCCATTGATATATCGTGCACATATCTTTTCTTTCTTCATACTCCTCAGTCCTCATTGATTCATCTTACAAAGTCTAACCATTTGAAATGCTAAGAGTTGAGGTATGATACAAACATTTTCTGTTCTGAGGTATGATACAAACATTTTCATATGAAACCTAAAGAGTACTGGTTGCAGAATCTATGCACGTTTTTAATCAAAACAGACATATCATTTTTATTTCTCAACCAAACAAAAGAAGTTTTGACCTTGACAATCATCTGATGTGACAATTGTTTCAACAAAAAAAGAAGATTCAAGCAAATTCCAATAAATCAGTCAAGCGAAACTTATTTCTCTGTTTTACACTTAATTCTCACAATGAATGTGATCGAAGGGACCCAACTGTGAGTAACAACGTATCATATTGCGTGCTCTCCTAAGCAAAACAATGTGATGCGTTGGCTGTACGTAATTCACTTATTGTTTCACTGATTTTGTATTTGCATTGTGATCTTATCATGTCATGTCAAAACCTTACTCAGCAATTATGATCACTGCATTCCCGTTTACAATATCAATACACGACATTCTCTAGAATATGTCGCTGAATGCTTTCAACGAAAGCGAAATAATGAAAATTAATTCTGTTTGTTTCATTCTAGGTTTCATTTTATTGGTTTTCAAGTAGGATGAAACTATTCCAAAAAATTTCTTCAGACTAAAATCATTGAAATGTAGAATCTTTTTTTCACTCCGAGTATTCATTACTGAGCTACGTGAATCAAAGTTTATTATTGAGTATTGACATTGGTCCATTGTCGTTACCAATCATTGGTTTTTATGAAATTTTTATATTTTCACTTTAACATTTGATTCAAACAAAATGAATTTTTCATGAATTTACGTCGCAAAAAATCGACGGCATATTTGTGTGTACTTAATGACAAACAAATCAATGAAAATCTGCTACGAACTCCAAGCGTCTTTTGTTCACGATGTGCGTTCGCATTTGGATACGTATTTTGTGCGTCTTCGTGTATTCAGCTTGTCGTTTCTATTCCTCTTCCATTGCTTTAACCATCTTACACTGATACAAAACAACCGACATTTGTTTGCTACATTATCCGCATGTTTGAACAATTTGACGCAGAAACAAAATAAAGAAGAATAAAATCATTCATAAAATAGACGTTCAACTGACATTGTCAGTCTTACAATGTGTCAAATCGATAGAGAGTTAAAGCACGACATGACGCGATAAATATTGATTCAACGGAAATAATGAATGACGCAAACATTTGCCATCGAAACAAATAAGCGAATATTTATTCTGCAAAGCTGTAAATGATTTCTAGTAAAAAATATTAAACACAAATGTGTGCGTCGCAACGGAATCGAAAGGAGACTTTTAATTAAGTTGTATCGTTTGAGATGGTGTTTACTTTCAAGAAAGAAATGCATGTTTATGCAGAGGCAGGTTGCACATAAATTTATTTATATAAATTTCAAATATCAAATAAATTCATCCGATATTTTTCATGCGTCGTGTTGTTCTCAGACGTGTGCAAGGGGGGGTTTGCGGTTTTACCCCCCATCTAGGATTTGAAAATGGAGACCCCCTTCGAGCGATTTTTACTGTTTTACACTAGATAGAATCGATTTTCAAAAGTGAGGAACTTTTTTTTAAATCTTCGCTTTTTTTCGACACCCATTGACAAAATTTTTAGACCCCCATCTGCCAAAAAATTTTACCCCCCTCTAGGATTTTTGACCTTGCACACGTCTGGTTGTTCTGACGCATTCGAAGTACATTAACGAAACATCAGCTGTTGTATTGACAGCCAGCTATTCATCGCAGGAATAAGATTTTTGTTTTGTTCATTTACCGATATTTGTGAACAAGTCTGCCACTATAGTATATGTAGTCCATAAAAAAATGTGTAGAGACGAAAATGTTCGTCATTTAGTTTTACATTGCCAATACATTAGTTATAGAGATTTTTGTTTTGTTTATTTTTTGTTGTTTGTAAACAAATCTGGCAATGTAAAACTAAATGGCAATGTAAAACTAAATGGCGAACATTTTCGTCTCTGCACATTTCTTTTGGACTATATATGCTATGTAGTGACACAGTGGCAGACTTGTTCACAAATATCGGTAAATGAACAAAACAAAAATCTTATATAAACAAAAAAATAGCTGGCTGCCAATACAACAGCTGATGTTTCGTTTATGTACTTCGAATGCGTCAGAACAACACAACGCATGAAAAATATCGGATAAATTTATTTGATATTTAAAATACGTTCGCCATATGAACTATGAAATTTTTCATAAAATTTAAAAGGCCGCTTTAGTAGCGTTCATATGCCGCTTGAATCGCTACCATCGCCGCAAACAAATCCGTTATGAATCTGGCTTTTATTTAATAAAAAACATCTTCGAATAAAAAAAGGTAAAATAAAATTGTAAATTCAATTTCTCAACACACAGTTTATAAAACTTTACTCAAATTCTTTTAGTTTTGACATTAATTAGTGTACCACGCACCTACCCTACGACCTATAAATATTACTAGATTCTGCGATTTACGGCGTTCAAAAATCGAAAAAGAACTGATTGTTAATAGGTCAACAAATTTAAGGCGATAGCAATTCTCATTTTTTGCGTACCGCGTACAGTGTACCACGCACATACCCTACGACCCTAAAATTATGCTAGATTTCGCGATTTTCAGAGCTCGAAAATGAAAAAAAAACTGATTTTAAGGGGGTCAAAAAATCGAGGCGATCCCAATACTTTTCTTACTTGACATGGTTGTGTGGAAAAGTAATGAAATATAATTCAAATTATATATTGAGAGAGTTGAACAAGAGGTACGATTAATTATAAGAAAGCATGATGTGACAATCAAAAATATAAAAAATGATAAATTTCAAATTACATTTATGTTTGTACTTGTGCATTCAATCATGACAATGCATTCGTTTGATTTTTGTATGAATATGGACACTTTTTCAAACCATAAATTTATTCGTATCGTACGTACAAAATCCGAACGCAAAAATTCAAGCAGAAGTGTAATGAGAATCGTTAACTATGTAGAATAAGTATGGACCACATACATTCGCTACTGAAATGTAGTGCTTTAGCTGACTACAATATCTGTGTAGCAAATGAATGCGTTCGCTTTTTGTGTATATTACATTCTTCGAATACCTTCTGTGCCAATAAAACTCAATGTCATTACACTTACATCGCTTCAGTTCATGATTCGTCTTGAAATTTGTATGAACGTACTTGTACTTGGCCTTAATTTTACATCCGTATTTGCACGTATAAAAGATCATGGCTTAATAAACGATTATTCGATTTATAACTTACTATCGGATGCAGTGTTGCCCCTCAGGCACAATCCAATTTGTGTAGCATTTAAATCGCGCAGATCAATGCATGTAAATATTGTTTGTTTTATCATTTTATTGGAACATTTATGGCAACGTTTTGAAGAAGAATTGAAACACTTGTGTTGGCATGACTTGATTACTCCCAAAATTATTTGTTCGGAGAATTTGAGATTTTGGGCTGAACATTATTTAATATAAGGCTGATTCGAAGCTCCAACAAAATTATTCTTTTGGTGTACAGTGTACACTGTACATCGATACATAGTTAATACAGTTAAATACAAAAATGTCTCTTTTTTTGTTTACCAAGGACATCCAATTTTTAGGACAGTTCTAGTCAATAATCCTCTTTTATGAAATCTGAACCTCTTTCTGCTACCATAATTGTCATTGCATTTATATTTCCCGACACAGTGCTTGGTGCTCTGCAATTGGATAAAGACGAATTTCAATATCATACACGTATAAAATGTCATATATCTAGACTAAATGCCTATATAGACGTACACGCCAGCATCGATTTGCCTTAATTTTTTTATATTCCTAACTCTCAAGCGTGAATCCACAACTGCCTCACAATCGGAATTCCCCATTCGACTTGTTCCGGTTGGATGATTGTTACCGCCTCCAAAATACTTAATGTAACATCGAAAGTAATTGTCGGATCGGAATTCGAAACGATCACATTCTTCTATTGGGATATGCATGAATTCAGCGCCGTTGTCTCGATAGGATGGTGTTTCAGTGAACGAAACCTGTTGTTTTATTGCTCGAATAGTCGATTCGAAATCGTATTCATCACTAAAGTAATTACCATTGATGATTGGCTCATCTCGAGGTGAAGCACTCGCCAATTTCACAAAGCCTCTCGATTTTGGGTGTAACTCAGAGACAACAATCGCAACAATGTCATGATTTTTATTTTCTTTCCTCAACGCTTGACTTATGCTTCTCTTGTACTGGCCAAAAGTGGACGTATTTCTTTTGTAATAAAATATTAATATTTGAAAATCTGGAAAACGTGTGCCATTCAAAGTATTCACAAATCCATTCACTGTTGATACACTTCTCGATGCCAATGGACCAGTATTATGAATTGCCAGATTGTATATGCCATCAAGCTTTTCAGTTGGTGATTGTTCTGTTGGCTTGAATTTAAACCATATATATGTTGCAATATGATCTATAAGATTTCTACCAACTGGTAGGTCGCTCTTTACTGGAATTTTAAATTTTTCCAAATGCTTTTTCGGACCAATACCGGAGAGCATCAATAAAACAGGACTCATGTAAACACCGGCTGACAATATGACCTCTTTTCGAGCTATGGCCTGTAATCTATGCGTTTCATTGTATACAAATTCAACGCCGTAAGCTTCATTGTTTTCGTTGATTAGGATTTTTTCAACAAATGCATTTTTGATGACGTGTAAATTGGGCCGATCCTTTGCAGCAACCAGAAATGCTTTTGAAGTACTTTGACGGCTACCTTTGAAGGAAGTGCTTTGCATATTCAAATAACCCAACGGGTGATCTGAATTTATATCATCTATGATTGGATGACCAGCCTGTGTGGCGGCATTTAGAAATATTTGTCGAAGCGACCCCGCTCCATCATAATCATTGCCAAGGAAATGAATTTTCATTGGGCCTGACGCATTATGGTATCTACCGTTTTTATATTTTACAAACTTAGCATATTGATTTCCTTCTGACTTTCTGAAGTATGGCAGAACACTGTCATAATCCCAACCGTCATTTCCAAGTTTAGACCACCGATCGTAGTCCAATCTGTTTCCACGCACGTACTGTAAAAGTATGTAATATGAAATAATAGGTATTTTTACCTATACATATTTTTAAATATGTATGTGATCCGAAATTTATTCAAAAATCGACCTAAAAAACCCAAAGACGTCCTAAAAACTCTTACAATCATTCCATTGATGGAAGAAGATCCGCCCAGTACTTTTCCCCGTTTACCGCTACATTTTTCATCTAATTGGGCTTTGCACGTTTGTTTTGCATCCACAGAAAAATTCCAGTCTACTTTTGAACCGTATAGATCGTTAAGTAAGCCAGGTATCTAAAATGAAAACTAAAGAATACATATTGTAGGTTTTATTACAGTAGATAATCAAAAACCTCCGATTCTATTGGCGGATCACCACCCGCTTCCAGTAGTAACACTCTCCAATTGGGATTCTCACTTAATCGACTGGCTACGACAGACCCAGCTGAGCCAGATCCAACCACAATGAAGTCCACGACGACGTCTTCCAAACCTTTTTGACCAATAATCTCAAATCAATATCTGCGCTCGACTTTTACATCCACAGCGAGTTACCTTGTTTCAAAGCAGTTATTCCGTAGTCTTCCGGCCAAAAATTAGGTGGTGATATGGAACACTGTGCAACGAGAAGAGCTTGGATGACGTTTATAAATAACTGGTTTTCAGGCCCAAGGCTTTGCGCTGCACATTGTAGTGGAATACTATTTTGATTTGAAGACATTTATGGTTGCCTTGTTCCAACTGCATAGAATGATTAAGGTTTAATGTCGTCAGATTGCAACAAGTTAGATTTATACTCTAACTTTTATCTGAGTTCTTCACGTTTTATACGATTTTATACGGCCCACGTCTTGAATGTCGTCAAATCAACGAAAAATATAACGATGGACATGCTTTTTGTGCATGACTTCGTGATACAATCTATACCTACATGAGCAAAACGTGCTATTACTTTTCCGTACACAACGTGTCAAGGGAAAGTATTGGAATTGGTCCCGAAAACTTTTTTCGCAAAATTAGCTTAGATCATCATAAAAACTCATGAAACGCGTAGAAAACCACTTTTTGAGACACTTTTCCGTTCGTGTGCCGTCGTCGTCGTTGTCGTCGTTGCTGTTTGTTAACACGATAACTCAAAAAATAATTGAGATAATCAAAGTCTGGAAATGTCAAAAGTTTTGTATTCCAAAAACTTAGTTTAAGTTCGAAGATGAGCCATTTTCGATTTGATCCTGGGGTACTTGCCCTAAGAAAAACCTCAAAAAATTGACACTTTTGTATGGGAGGTACCCGTAAATCGACTCCGATTGGCTTCAAACTTTCTGGGATTTCATTTTTTGGGAGAAAAATAAGATTCTGGAAGTTTGAAACCAATCGGAATCGATTTACGGGTACCTCCCATACAAACTTTTTGAAATTTTGACTAAAATTACCGATTTTTGGACAATTTTGTATGGGAGGTACCCGTTAATCGATTCTGATTGGCTTCAAACTTTCTGAGGATTCATTTTTTGGAGAAAAAATAAGATTCTGAAAATTTCATGTTGATCGCATTTGCAGAAGATTGATTTTTTGTCCTCAATTTTTGTCGAAATTTTTTTGGAAAAAATTGAGGGCCAAAAACCAAACTTCTGCAAATGCGATCAACATGAAACTTTCAGAATCTTTTTTTTTCTCCAAAAAATGAAACCTCAGAAAGTTTAAAGCCAATAAGAATCGGTTTTCGGGTACCTCTCATACAAAATTGTCGAAGTTTTAGTTAAAGTGACCGATTTTTCAATTTATTTTCTTTATTATATTTTCACTGCCTTTATTTCAAGAAAATTCACAAAAAATAACCACAAGTACCTACGGACAACGCAGGCCAACGGTACGGAAAAGTTCGGGATTACCAATGTAATTCTTTTTATTTCTATACCATCTGAATAAAAAAATCCCATAGTAATCTCTGCAATATTTCGAACTCTAAACCGATGTTCGACAACTGTTTCAGCACCCCAGTCCGTATATCTATCTCATTTACTTATCTCTATATCATGATTGATGTATTCATTGCTCAGCTACTTGGATTAAAGCTTATTAATTGTCCATTGTTGTTACCAATTTGAAATCAGTTGTGTTCATGAAATGTTCATAGTTTCTCTTTATCATTGACGCAAACGAAATGAATTTTTCATGAATTTGAGCATTCATTTAAAAAAAAATTTCATGAGAAAACCGTGACCAATTTGAATATGCAATTGAGAGCTAGCTACGTCGCAGAAAATCAACGGCATATGTGTATGTACTCAACGGCAAATAAATCATTGAAAATCTGCTACGAACTCCAAGCGTCTTTGTTTACGATATGCGTTCTCATATAGATACGCATTTCATGCGTCTTTGTGTATTCAGCTGTTCGTTTTCATTTCTCTTTCATTGCTGTAACCATCTCACACTGATACAAAATAATCGACAATTATTCGCTTTCCGCATGTTTGAACAATTTGACGTAAAAATAAAATAAATATGTGATTTTGAAAAAAAATCTTTCATATAAAATATATACGTTCAACTGACAGTGGGTCAAATCAATTTGAGAGTTGAAACACAACATGACGCAATAAAAATTGAATCAATGAATGACGAACACCGATACTTTTCGAACGCAAAGATATGCCATCAAAACAAATAAGCGAATGTTTATTTTGCGAAGATGTAAATGCGAGTTTTAGTAAAAAAAAAAATATTGAGCATAAATGTGTGCGTCGCAAGGGAATCGAAAGGAGACTTCACACTGAAGCTTTCCCAGATATTTTATTTAAATTGTATCGTTTCATTTAAACGAGCGTTTATTTCATTAGCACCTCGAATAAAAATGTAAACAGAGACATTGGTCCAAATTTTTCATCTTTTTTCTACACACTCGCTTGCACATGTTTTCGTTACACTCTGATTTTTTATATGTTATTTGTATACGATGCCTTAATCAAATACAACTACAAATGGGTATCCGGACAAAATTCCCGAAAAAAAAATTCCCGATCCACAAAA